AATAATTCAACACTTACATAGCTTGATATAAATTATTTAACCCACAACTGAAATTACCAGATTTTTCAAAAACCAATGCAGGAGAAAATAGTTTTAACTTAAGTGAGTGGGGGTGGGAGGCACCTCTTTGGTTAAAGCATAACAGTATTACTTCAGATATTAATATTTAGTTGGGTAATCAGTCATATGTTACAGTAAAATAACCCAAACAGATCCCACTGTTCTAAATGATTTTGATCTTATTTTTTTTGTTGATAATATGTCTTTCCTGTGAAACTGTTATAAATCAAACATTTTCTAAAGAGAAATGAAATAAATTAATTATTTTGTTTTAGACACAGAGTAGTTTACAATATTTCATACATTTATCTGCACTACAGTTGTACCCACCCCTGATGTATAACATTGAAAACTCTCCTAAATATATATATATATATAAATGTAAATAGCAAAAAATGTAGATCTCTGGTTTTAGTTAGGACAAATAATTTATAAACCAGTCAAATTTTAGCAATGCCTCTATTTGAAATAAAGTTTCCCACTAGGAGAAAGTAATTTTGAAACATTATATAAACTTTGTAACTATACATATCCAATTTTTTCATTCATTTAAAAATTTTAAGATTTAGATTAAATAACCTTTTAGCTTTAAAACTGCTTGTTGGGCTGTTATTGGAGAGCAATTTTACATCACTTTGGAAATATTTCTTCGTATTCCCCAAGTCTTACACACATTCGGAGGTTATTCAAGATTGAAAACACATTCAGAGGTTATTTAAGATTGAAAATTCTGCTTCAGATTTGGGAACAGAATTTCCTGCGTATTTTTTACACAAATTCTAATGAAAGGTATTAAAGTTAAAAACTATCTTGCAATTTTAACAGAAACTAAAAAATAAGAAAAAAAAGGTCTGAAATTTCATTATTCATTCTTGGCATATTGAAAAATGTCAGAAAATCCTATATAATTTACAAAACTAAGTGCAGAAATTTGAAATCCAATAAAATTACCACTTTACCTATAGGCAATACAAACCACTTTAAATTTTATATCACAAAATGTGTATGATAGAATATCATAATAAAAGCTGTTAGCTAATTAAAAAGAAACAAAAACTATTTTCATCTAATAGTGAAAATTTCCAGTGTGTCTGCACCTCTCTTTTCTGCTTAGGGGTATAAAAATAAGGTACTTCCTTATTTCATAGCCCCCATTAAAATGGTGCCAAGATTACTGCCAAGCTTGTGTTTACTTCCCACAAGGATATTATAAAATACATGAAGATGTTCCTCCTTCAGTTTACCCATGCCCTTACGAATTAAGAACTAGTTTTTAAAATATTTTTATAATGAATAAAGTAAATTACAGGCATTATATTATTTAATTTAAAAAAGACTTAAGCATAATGGTGGTACTCCTTCTCACCTCCATAAGCGTTACAAAGTTTTGGAGCCGATAAGATATTATCCAAAGAGCATGCACAGCCCACTAGCGGCTGAGCAGTAAAATCGCTGAACGCTCATAATTCAGTCCAAGGTTCGAATCCCCCGAACAGGCTGGATGCATGGGCATTTTCGTGGTTTCCCCATATGTAATGTGCATACAAGCCAGTTTCCCTTAGAAAGTCTTTCACGTAGGCACCCCTCCCCTTACACAGATAGCCCTCGAGGCTTTGCCATTAACCACATAAACCAAACAAAAGACCATACCTCTTACTCAATTATATGAAAACTTGGTATTGAAAGAACTAAACTGTTCCATAATGTTAAAAAATTGATTTTAAATGTTTTCATTAAGAGTGCATATTGAATGTTTGCTAAGCTTTCTTTTTTGCAGAAAGGAGCTGTGACATACTCTAGATACATGTAATTTTATTTTTAAGCGACTACAGTGGTCTTGCACTGTATTGTGTGCATTATATTTTGAACTTTTAGAGTATTCAATGGTGCATATTTTTTCAATATAAAGTTATTGAACTTTCTTTAACAAAATATGTTTCCAAATATGTGCTAAAGTTGTATACATTTACATGCAGCATAACAGTTAAAATATTTCGTATTCACCAGAATTGAGCATTTGAAACCGACAAGTCCAGAACGGTTTAAATACTTAATTTCTTCAAACAAGTTTGAGTTTAAGAATATTTTTTAATAGGGTTTGAAAAATTTGCTATAAAGACCAAGACTAAAATCTAATTATTAAACTTACATAGCTTGCCCTTGGTTTGATAATATCCTTAAAATGAAATTCTGTTACCCCCAAATTAAATATTTGTTTTTAATAACAGTATAAACAGGAAATAATAATGTAAAATTAATTCAGATAAAATGCAAAAATCATAACATCCTTAGTGGTTGCAAAATCAAAAAGTTTTAAAATAGGCCAAAAGGCTGGCAGTGTTTTGAGAAAGTGTTAATTCACATAACACTGCTAGCCTATTGGCAATAGTCTATCATATATTAATTTATTGCTAATCTTGGTAGAATTTAAAAAAGAGGAGCCATAAATAGGTTCCCAAAACTCCTGGATTTGAGCCCTGAAAATTAAAATCTCCTGGCTCCGAGAAGGAATTTAAAATAAATATTACTCTCCCAGAATATCAAGTTTCTCGAAAATAACGACACAATGTGCACAGACGAAATGGTCAATAGCATCAAAAATCACAAGACACTCTATTTTTATAGCACTCTATATTTAATTTAAGGTGCAGGACTACATTATCTATACCACTCTATTTCCTGATTCTTCGTTGCCAAAAACAATTTGTACAAAGATAAGAGGGTGAGGGAAGATACGGCCAAGAGGTGGCAACACTAGCCATAAAGGTAAAGAAGTACAGTCAAATACCGAAAATCCGCCGACCTGAAATCCGTGTTGCCTCTCAAATATAAACATTCAGTTTATGGGTTCCAGAAGCCGCAACATTGAGTACGAAATATTGAAGAAAAAAATACTTACCGAATAATAACGAGTCAAAACGGAAATACTAAATTATTGATATAAAAGTTTAAAAAAATATAATCAATTTATATATGTAACAAAAATTTAATGCATATAATAATTTATTGCAATAATGTATATAATAATTTAATTAAATGTATCTAATATGCCTTATTCATTTTGCACTTTTAGTCCAAATATTATGCTTTATCTTTTCTGTTCTGAAACCCGCAAAATCCTAAAATCCGCTCAACGTCTGGTTCCAAGCTTTGCGGATTTCTGGAATTCTACTGTACAATAAATAATGAAAAAAAAATTTTTTAAGAACTCAGATTTTATATTACGCCCAAAAGGTTTTTTTTTTTTTTTTTTTTTTTTTTTTTTTTCATTTATACATACATGCATACACATTTTAAGAGCATTTCGGCTAAGAATATTTAAAAACAGCATATCTTTAGAATTTATGATAGACAGTTTTGCATGTTGGAGATAAAAATGTTTTGTTCCATACAGTGTTGCCACTGCTTGCTTTGAAATTGTTGAGTTTTTTAATCTAGAATTTGTTAAAGTTTTACAAAACATAAAACAGCTAATAAAACAAAATCAAAATTAGAGCCCATATTTAGGTGCAGGACTACATTATTCAAAAATAAAAAAATTCTATGTATCATTTTTTCACAAGAGAAGCATACATACATTCAGGCAGATTCTTCATTATTTAATTTCTAAAAATAATACAGGAAAATAATACTTGATGGCAACAATTCGAAAAGTGATTCAATGTGTGACTCTACACAAAATGCCGCTTCAAGACCAATAGCCCTTCTGAGCTAAAAATACATTGGTATGCTTAAAATATTGAGCAATACTACAAACAAGAAAATGTGCATTTCCAAAAATCATAATTTAACAATCCTTCGCAGCAAGTCACGTAACGGGGAGGGTTAGGAAACAATTTTCCGTTTCACCGGCGCAAATCTTGCCAAGTAGACTTTATTGGCAACAACATACAGTATACACATAAAAAATGTTAGTTCTAAGAATTCTTTATTTTGAAGGCATGAACATTTTAATACCGTTTAAAATTTTGTAAAAAGCCAATAAATAAAGACAAATTTGTACAGACATTAATTTAAGAACTTACTACGCTTTCATGGTTCAACATCCTGATTCGCTGGTTCATATCACGTGACACCAAGTGATCTCATCTCACATAAACTACACTACAAAAATCTAATTCTCACATAAACTACGCTACAAAAATCTAATTCTCTCAGCAATTATCTACATTAATTTCAAGTTAAATCTTAATTTGGAATAATAGTTTAAATGCAAGAATTATTTCAATTCATATGAATAGCTTATTCAGAAATTATGTAAAACAGCAGTGCTTTACTTTGCTAGTGTATTCTCATTAGAACTGATGAACGTCCTTGACTTTACCTCTTCTATATTTCGCCTTCAGATGAGCGGTGTGATTGCATCCTGACTTAATTATCACGAATGGCCTTAGGGCATAAAATTTAATTATCTGGTAAAAATTCTATGTAATTGTATGCCAATATTGAAAGAAAAAATCAACCTGATAAGAAATGGCTGCAACTTGTTTTGAAAATGAGGCGTAAAAAAGATATTACGTTTGGCATTAGTTTTACCACAATTGGTGACTTTATCACCTGCGCCAGCAAAACGGAAAAGTACCCAATTTTTCCTTATGTAACAGATTATACTGACTCTACACAACAATAATAACTTACACTAAAAAATTAAAGCCTGAAAAGTTATATTAAAAAATATTTTCCACTTATTGCATTGATATATATCATTTCGAATCATTAAAGAATTTGAATTTCTTCTCAAATATTTTCACATCACGTGAATTTTCATAAAAGATCTTCAAAGTCAAAAGTGTCATGAAAATAATGTATTATTACAATGCAACCTCTTCCACGTAAAATTTTTCTTCACATTTAAGTGGAATAACTTATAGGAATTTTAAATGTGAAATTATTATATTGCAGTCAAATCGTGAGATTTTTTTACTTATTACAAATCTTACCTCCATCATCAACTCCAGTCTGTACCTCAGCTGATATTGCCTGCTTCTCCGACCTTCTAACCTGTTCTAAACGTTGTATCTTTTCATGCAGCTTTTGAAGGGCTTTAATAATTCCTGCTGAAAACAGAAATCATGAGAAAATTGGTTTAAGAAAATATGCTACAACTCTTTCACCTACCTTTCCACAAATTCAATGCTTTGCCTCAAAAGATTTTTTAAGATTAAAAAATTAACCATATTAAATGCTCTCTGTAACACATCTAAGATATAAATTAGTAACAAATTTCATTCATAAAGAAACTTGAAATGCTAATGTAAGTTTTTGAACAATTATTTGAAAGCACCTGTATAAATTTCACTTGTAGCAAAAGCATTACAAATAAGTGAACAGCAAATACAATAAATAAGCAAATAAAAATGAAAATTAGTTGATTTTCCTGGTTTAAGTCTGGAAATCTGCCATTTTAGTACCTCAGCTATTGTAAAACATACAAAATAAATGCTAAAATTTTAATTCAAAGAAATATTTACTTACACATTACTTAAATTACGATGCATGGATTGGCAAATGTTACATAGTAATCAAAAATTGGTATCTAGTTTTCTTTTTATACAGGATATATTTCCTAATTTTACAGGATGCAAATTTTGTCACTTTACATTAATAAAAATGTTTGCAGATAATCTTTGGAATATGGTAACAGGTAGTTTGGTGACATTTTGGTAAGGCGATAAAGGTTACTAGCTAGGACTTTAGCAATGTACATGGATAAATTCAAGAGTGTGCGCAATGCCATTTTTGTGCAATTCTATGATTTTTTTAAAGTGAAAATAGGTTGACGTGTACATGGATGATACAGTGTATCTGCAATTCTTAAAAACGCGGCAAGCAGTGGCCAATTCTGCACTTTCTCCCAATTTTGCACCTAATCTTCGTGATGATTAAGCACTTTGGTTCCATAAAAGTTCTAGCATAAGCATAATTCAGCTAGCAGGATTGTTGGAAAAAAATGCTGAGTAAAAAAAAAAAAAAAAAAAAAAGCCTTTACCTCGTGAAAACAAAATGGCGTCCAAAACAAAACTAGCAGGTTGCTGTAGCAGGGTTGGTCGCCAAAAAATCGCCGAGTTACCAAAATCCATAGATTAACCACGTTTGCTTTCAGAAATTTAAGGGAAAAAATCATAACACTTTTATTTATATACATAACTGCTTAAAGAGAAAAGGTCAGCCTTAATTTCATTCTTATAAACAAAAATATTCAGTTTAATTAGAAGGTAATGTACCACTTTCATCTAAAGTCAATGCAAAATTAGATTAAATTTACCATTTTTAAATTTAAAGCAGAATAGCATTTACTGAACACATTAAATGATTGGTAATCAATTTCCTTCTCTTAACTAATTAATATATATATTACATGTTCTTTTATCTTTAAAAAACATTCTTAGTTTTACATACATATATTTCGTTGAGTGTGATTTTATCTTAAAGAGGAATAACACATGACAAAACAATTTAGTTCTAGAAATTTTATTTAACCCATAGACATTTTAACTTACAAAAATGAATTAAAAACAAACAATTATTTTAATGCCAGCATAAAAAATGACTTGTCTTGCCACAATGTACACACACTAGCAATTAATCTTTTTTTTTTTTTTTTTTTTCCATACAAGCTATCATATACACTTGTAGTCTTTTTGTCATTCAAAGTCACTACACTTCAGAAGAAAGATTCACACTTAATGATAAACACAAAACATTTGGCAAAATGAAATTACTGCCACAAGGTGTACTAGATTACTTGCAATATGCAAAAAATTATGTACAATAAAAAGCCTATAACTTGGGCTTTTTATTTGTTTTATATATTACAAACAGGAAAAAAGCTAAAACAGCACAGAGAAATATGGAAACAGAAAATGTATAGAAGGAGATCAACAGATAACAAATAGTAGAGTATTAATGTTTTAATACAAAAGTATTTCTTACATCTGATATTCAGTCATAACACAGATGGGATATCTCCTTTAAATAACAATATCACAAACAAATCAGACATAGTTTAAAATTTCTACAGTCAATACCAAAAAGAATAATACCCATATCACATTAGGTATCACATATATTACAACTTAAAACTTCTATATATTTTGCACGAAAAGGAAGAAAAATTAAAAATAAATTAATCCACATTTGGAATTTTTTAACTACAAATTTTCAAATTAAGCAAAAAATACAATTTTTTCTAAAATAAAAAATATTTAAACATTGAAAATAAAAATTAGGAAGGAAATATTCCAAAAATATACTCATTTCAGAAAGCTCAGATCAAAATCTAAATAAGGAAACATAATTTATTACATGGTAATATATTTTACTGTTGTCGTTGGATAAAATTTGAGCATGTAACAAATTAAATGATAACGCAATTTTTACAAAAACAAAAATCTGAAACCCACAGCGATAGATTTCTGAACCGCAGTTTCTGTGACATGAAATAAAAAATGCACACATTATAGCACCAAGTAATTACAATTTATTATTCATTTTTAACAGCTCACATAGTAATATTACTACAATTAGCTAAATGAGTACATTTCAGTAAAAAATAATCATTAATACTTTCCTACTTTAAACGTTTGCACAGAAAGTTTTTACGTTTATAATCAAAGTAGCTATAAAAAATGCTATTTTTCATTTTGTAAAAACTTAAATAAAAGTTCTCGAAAAACATGTCAGATCAAAATCAATTACTTTCTGAACAAATTTAAAGACTTAAAAAAAAAAAAAAAAAATCATGTGTTAAAAAATTCTGCAGATGAAATAAACTAACCAAAAACTTCAAATTTAGCTTTAGCATGAGTAAGGATATGAGATTTTAAGTTAGTTGACTGGGCAAATTTCTTATTACATTCATCAAAAGGACAAACATATGGTCGATCTCCCGTGTGAATACGAACATGAGTACGCAAATTGAAGTCCAGAGAAAAACGTTTCCCACACCCCTCAAATGTACACTGAAAAGGCTTTTCCCCAGTATGGACAAGTTGGTGCCTTTTCAATTTAGAGCTTTCCACAAATGCTTTACCACACTCAGCACACACATGAACTCTGGGGCCATGTGTATGTAAGTGTTTTCTCATAGCAGAATTATCGCGAAACATTTTATTACAGCCTTTATGAGGACAAGCTATAGTTCTAGCAACATCATCATTCTGTTTACGAGGCTTCATCTTAGCAAATTCAGCAAGTTGTTTAGGATCACTCAAATCAACACCAGGTATACCGCCAGGCAAAGTCTTCTTTCCTGTCATGTATTCTGTGTAATCAGGATCAGGTTCTGGCGTTAAAGAATCGTCAACAGACATACCTTTTTTATCATCATCACTACCAGATGCCCATACTGTTACGGAAAACTCTCCTTCCAGAGTTTTTATCTGAACTTGCTTTCGATCCCATTTTCGTGCTGCACGTTTGTTTTCTGTTAACTGTTCTCCAGTCAACTTGCCTTTGTTGGCTAATTTTTTGCCTTTTCTTCCTCGCTTATTTACAGGCCCAGCACTAGTGTCTAAGATAACGTCATTTGTAGAGACTGGTATCTGTTCGTAAGCTGACAAACCTTCCGATTCGGAATCAGCACCAACTATTTCTTCCTGGGGTTGTAAAATTATCCCTTGACTACTGGCATCCAGTAATGGTTGCAAGGCAATTAATGGCTGTTCTTCTGAAACTTCAACACCTGAAACTACAGTCTCAACAGGCATACCAACTAAGATATCCGCAATTTCAACTTCACGGGTATCAGAAACTACAACTTCAGAAGCTATATCTGTAGATCCTAGACTATTCATATTCATATTTACATTACAACAGATTTCAGTTATGTAAGGAGTTCAATAACCTTTTAATGTCTCTAAAAATCCGATTCTGAAGTGCTCTTAAATTCGGTCAGCGATATTAATTATACAACCAAGTCAAAAATTCTCTTTTTACATTAAAACATCAGATACGTACGTTCACGTTTCGGGAAATGAAAACCAGGTGCGACATTGAAAAGACCTTTTTCTCTGTTGAAACTCATTTCGGCATCTGCTTCTTTATACATAGAAAACAGAATATTACGACTATACGCTATTTTTTCAAAATATAAACATTTTCAAATCATAAACAGTTTCACAGACTTTAGAAACATACACCACCATTTTCTTTTTCGCGATGTTGCCAGATTTATTCAACTACTCATTGCAAATAATCCAAATTGCTTGTTGCTAAGCAGGACTTAGAAGAGAAGGGCTAGCTCATAGAGCTTTTTCCCCTGAAGCAGAAAGTGAGAAGTGATGACGTAGCCATGATGACGCTGAGCGCGCCAATATAATTCACAGCTTGGAAATTAGCGTTTTTGAACCAGCGTTTAAATGAGCTGTGTGTGAAAGATAGCTATAATTTGGAAGAGGCAATGTTCTGATTTAATTATTTAGACTGAACCATTAAAAATTTAATAATGCTTACTCAATTTTAAAATAATAGATAAAATGTGCTACTCTTTTAACATAAGTTCCGTGGTTTTTTTTAATTTTTATTTGCAGGTTTTTTTATTTAATGCACGTTTATTTCTAATCATTTTTTTATTTGCATGCTAACTGTGAGAATTTTTATGCTGCTTCTAAGATAACTATAATAGCAGCTATTTAAATTTACTCAAAAAACAACTTTACACTGACATAGGTTTAAACATATATGACATATATGGCAACATTTCTGCTAACCTACGTTTGATTTTTTGCCTAATTGTAAATTTTACATTGTTATAATTCTCTTCCGATTCAATATAATAGATATTTTTTAATAATTTTGTAATTTATACTTATATCTATATTACAATTAAATAAATGTATATAAGATTGTTACCTTAATTATGACAAAATAGCTTTATTCAGAGTACCTAAAATAGTTATTTAATTTTTCAAAAGTGTGAGTAAAGTGTGAGGAAGCAGGTCTTTTTATGCCAATTACTTTGATGTTTTATACTATTATATTTTATCTAGAATGCTAATCTAGCACAAAATCTAATCAATAATTAGTTACAAAGGATACAATAAGAATAACTTTAAAAGTACGTTTTAACAAAATTAGTTTGTTAAATACTTGTTATTCTTCTTGGTACTATTTTGGTACTATTCATAATACCGAAGAGGCCCACCAGCGGCCAAGCGGTAAAGTCGCTGAACACTGGTAGTTTGGTCCGAGGTTCGAATCCCGCAAACGGGCTGGCTGCATGGGTGTTTTCGTGGTTTTCCCCATGTTTAACGTGTATACGAGCCAGTTTCCCTTAGAAAGTCCTCCACGAAGGCATCCCTCTCCTTAGGCAGATAGCCCTAGTGTGCTTTGCCATAATTAAATACACACATACACATAATACCGAAGATATTATCGATTAACGATTAACTCATAGAAGTCAGATGCTTTTCTGATTTCCGGTGAGGTGAGAGTATATCTTTTGCGGTAGTTCTTGAAAATAATGTTTTCGCTGGAGAGACTTTTTGTCTCTCGTTTCCCTTGAACATTAAATAATTTTAGTTTTTGACACAATTTGATTTCTTCTCAATCTCTATTTAAAACCTCTTTAATATATCAAAATTTAAACAGATCCCTCTAAAACAAATCCTCTATCTAAAACGCGGTTTCTCTCAGTAATTTGAGGCAGAGCGCGAAATGAGACCTCTGATTAAAACAAACTGCACATTTTGAAAAGAACCAACTTAGTCCAGTTTAGAGTCATAGCAAAGTTTTCAATCTATGCATTTCGTCGAAACTGAGAACGCCTATTTTTCTACAGAATACAAATATCGCCTCCTTCTTCTTTAGAGTAAGAATATTACTTTGAATTCTTTGACTACAATAAATTTAGAAAACACTAAAAAATAAAATAAAACCATTTCTTTAATTTGATAATACCAGGTAAAGATATTCCAATTTTTTTTCTTTCCAAAAATCATAGCTTTAAGATGACAGAGCTCTTATGACGATGCTACGTGAAATATTTTCACTAGTCCACCTGATTTTTTTCTTCTTTTTCAGTAATGCATTAATCTGCGTCTTTATAAAAATAAGCTTTAGACATTTTTCAAAATTCTCCGATTTGTGCTCCCCTCCCCAAATTTCGCTATTTGAGATTTTAATTTCTGTCTAGATGTCGTCCACCTTCTTTGTCGCTGAACAACATTCTAAAATGTTCTTTTCTCTATTTTTCAATACTTTAATACAATTTAATACAATTCCAAGGAATTATTTTGTTCTTCAAATTATCAATGATTCTTGTTTATCCTAACATCAGGATGATCTACATTTTCATTTGTGAGTTTTTTTCAAAATCATTAAATTTGATTCATTATTGTCATCATCAATTTCGATTTATTATTGTCATCAAAATTTACTTTCGGCACAGCATTCCATTCAACAGTTTCTTTTTGTGGCTATCCAAACAAGCGATTTTTCATATCATCTTCATAAACACGCATAGAAAATGTTCGCTGCAAATTTTTCCGCTCTTCACATTAATAGAATCTTCTCTTTGACATTTGTGTATCCATACTTTTTCTTCAAAAGCAAACTCTATTTGGATCCTTTGGTCCCATGAAATAAAATATCATCCTTTCATACTTCTGTAAGTGCTACGGCATGTTACTGCAGCGCAAAAAGCCATATTACGTAAACGATACTTTACAATATAGAATTTAAAATAAAACTGATTAAATTACATATATAAATTATTTTAAATATATACATTATTAGAAAACAGATATATATATTATTAAAATTAATTTGGGATACGTAACCTCTAGAAAATCGTCTCGCAGCTCAATGAAAATACTGTTTTAAACGCGAGAAATCAGGACAGGTGGCATCACAGTGACGTCAGATTATTGCCTGTTACGTCCCCCCATTAGGCTCGCGTCGGCGAGGAGTCGAACAAAGAAATGAGCTAGCCCTTCTATTTATCCCTGGTTGCTAAGTGCATGATCCTTGTTCGCAAACGTGAAAGAATTACATTAAAGTTTGCAAAAACAACTAATTTCTGTTTAACTAGTTTATTGGTTCGTCGTATAGGTTTTCCCTCAAAAATCGTAAAACTGGACATGCATTATAGGCTTTTTTTTTTTAATTTGTGCACGAGGCAATTTTGCCTTTAAAATAAATAACTACTATAGATGGTATACAAAGCAAAACATCTCATATAAGTTTTTTCCACATCATAAAAATATCTAAGTAATGAGCAGAAATAGGAAAATTGCAGAAGTAGTTAGTTTGATGCAATATAGAGGGAGCCACATTAGCTCAAGAGAGCTTTATTTTTTGCCCATGTGATCGAAATCGGAAAGCAATCATTCAAGGGTCTATATTTCGCGACAAGCTAACTTGAGAACACAAACAAGGCTAGTACGACCTTTTCACCCTGTTCTTCAAGTTATCCGTATGCAGTAAACTGCCCGCGGATATTCAGTTCCTCCAATTTGCTACACATTTGGCGACTTCTTGCCAATCCAGCGTATTTAATAACAATCGTTTTATGCAGTGAAGCTGTAATTGAAATTGATAGTTCATCATAGTGTAAAATGTAGGGCATGTTATTCATTGTCTTAATTTATGTGAAATATTTCACTATTATCTAAATCCGACGAATACTAATTTGACGATATTTAAAACTTGAAACCGGAAGAGCCAACAATGTATTTTTTGGAGTTTGAGTTAATTTTTTTCCCAAGACCGTTCGCTTATTTAAAAGTAAAATATATAAATTTCGAATATCTAGTAGTAAGTTATTTTCTTTTAATTTTTAAGAGTTTACGCGGATAAGGTTCGGAGAACAGCCTTAACGCTTGTGTTATATATGTAACTGTAACTGTATCTATTATTATCTTTAACTATAACTGTAATATAGAATAGTAGATGAGTAATGTAGAATAACGATGTGAATAAGGAGGGCGCTGCGATCACCGAGGCAAGCGGCTGGACGTTCGCAGCGCTCCGTAAAAAAGTGAAAAAAATTCCTTTCCCCTTGGGGATTATCAATTAAATTACTTTGAAATACTGATTTTTCTACAATACCTACACGTTTTCAAAAGTTTTTCAGTTGCGATGTTGATGAGAATGAAACAGCGGACAATGTGAGGAAGTACAACGAAAGGCTGGAATTTTAAGATAAGTACCCTTCTTTCATCTAAACTCAATCAAATTTCTATAAATATGTGCCTTTGAATCAATAAATTTTAACTTTTTCATCAGTTTTTAAGCATTAAAAAATACTTGAAATTGCCATTGCTGTGGCTTCCTTTGTTAAACAATTCCGAAACAGACGCCAACGTTATCAGTTCACGTCTGTCAACACTTACAAAGCCCCCTTATCTTGCTTTGAGGAATCTCGTGAGAGGGAAAATAGGGGACTCACGGCATCGCGCGCTATTTCCCTCTCGGATCCTCTGGATTCTTTTTTTTTTTTTAGATCGCTTAAATATTTTTTCGCCTTTAAATAATATTATACCTCACCGATTTTTTCTCATACTGTTCTTTGCTATCTGTTAAATGTCCATATGTAAGGGATGGTTTATTCTTCACCGCCTTAAATAAATTTTAGAACTATGAGCTTATATAAATAAACAGTGTGCCTCATTGTGTTATTAAGTAATTAATTGTGTAATTAATTAATTAAGTAGTAATAAATTATGATAGTAAAATAATTAATCTTGTAATAAATTATGATAGTTAAATTAATAAATACTGTTTTAATTTGTGTTTTTAATACATATACTCAGTAATTTACACACCACACATATATATATATATATTTTTTTTTTTTTTTTTTATTTTTGTTTGTGGTGTGTGTTGTACGGTTGTGGTCTTGTATTGTATATGGTTCTATGTTGTTTGTCTGCTGCTGTTTTTTGAAAAATGTATGAAAATGTTGGGAACGAAAATAGCATAAGTTACTTTAGTTAAATTAATATATACTTTTGTTTGATGACTTTGTTGATATCTCAGGATGCAATACATATTACTTTGCATATATACTCAGCATACATATTACTTTGTATTCCATGCTAAATACCTTGATACGAAGCATTTTAACACCGTCAATATTTTTTTTCCCCAGTAACACATCTATTCACCATTACCAAACACACTCACTACACACACACACACACACCTGTGAGACACTATTTATTGTAAATGAAGACAGTTCTT